TAACCTTTCGTAAACCATCACGTAGGTGTTGCATTATTGTTAATAATTTGTGATAATCTAGCTGCACTAAAGAACTGTAATCATGTTCTTCCTTGTGTCTTTCTTTTTTTGTCACGTGTCGCTCCATCCCTAGGGCGGCACGGGCGGCGACCCCAAGCCGCCGAGGTGGCCGGCCCCTCCAACCCCTCCTCCCCCCTTACCGCCGCCAAGCTTTAAAGCTGCTTTGGTGTGTGGTCATGTGTGACAAGCGGTATTGATTACGATTGTAATAATATAATGTGATGGCTAGTTTAAAAATATACACCACAATAATACAGAGAGACTGTCACGTACAACCCTGCATCGCTCCCGGGGGAGGGGGATGGGGCAGCTCAGTCAAATCCTAAGAGCATGGTTAATAGTATAGCCAGCTGCTGGCTATATGATATTGCCACGTCATCTATAGCCAAGCTTACAACCGACAAGTCCAATAGTAGCATATAAATATGTAATACCTTTTGGATATATGGCCCACCTCACTCTCTCACAACATGTCTAGGAGCGTGTGTTGCAGCCGGCTGTTAATCAGTAGCCCGCTTCCCTTCTCTCTCCTCCCATATTCCCTCAAACTCATCAAAAATATAATATTTAAAGGCTTATAGCCCGCCTAGTCATCCTTATTGTACTTGCTCTAATCGCTGTTGTCGCACACACTCCTCCTCCCCATCAATATCATGTCGCCGCCGGAGGAGGCGGCATGCAAATCCCTGTCCGGCAGATGGCGGGCCCTCATCTCCTCGCCCCCATGGGAGATCTCTGGCCTAGAGCGTGGCTACGGCCCTAGATGTAGGTCATTCCTGACGAGGATCTTGAATCCTAGCGGCGGCCTTGGGACGGTGGTGGTCAAGTTGTCCGCAGCTGCTAGGTCAGCCGGCGATGGGCCCGATGATCCTATTGTGGTCACGTCGCTCTTGTTTTTCGGCCGACGGGGCTATTGACCTGGGTTGGCTGCGGCTCATGACGGCGAGCTGGTGGTGGCTACCACGACTGCTGTTGTGTCGCCACACGGCGTCCAGTAGTCAGTCAGGAGGAGATCTGGCACGTCGGCTAGTGCTGGCGGCGAGGAAGGGGAGGCGCGACAACCGATGAAAACTATGTCAACTTCAGTCATAATGGAGGATGGCGGCGTCTAAACATCGTTACCCTGATGAATGCATTGTCATTGCATGTCTTGTCTCCTCGCTTGGCGCTGTTCTCCCTCCCAAGGGGCATCATTTTGGAGCAGCTGCTGGAGGGGTCAGGAGGTGGAGTGACGTCGTATATGTCACATCGACAATGATAGGTCTCGGCGGCATAGTGCAGCGGAGTCTCAATGTCGGAGGTGTCTTGATGGATGACCGTGGGGCTGTGGCGTCGATGGCTAGCCTGGCAAGGATAATGCGGATCTCTACCCTGAAGATGGGTCGACTATTTGATGATAGTGGCAACTTTCAAAGTGTGTGCATGTGGTGCACGCTTAGGGTTTGCTAGACCGGATGTGTGCTCCCATATGCCATGTTACTCCGGTTCTAGATGATGAGGCGTTGTGATGTCATCCCCATTGTCGAGTTTGTAGGTGTGCAAGTGATGGCTTCTTGTTGTTTGATACATGTTTTTGCTCGACCTTTGTTGAATAATTCAATACAGATGGACGTGTGCATTTTTTATGGTGAGGCCTGGAGTTTTAACCTCCTTTTCTAAAAGAAATACATAGAAGGAGGCAATAATTCAATGCGGTGCCCGGCTCATCTACATTGCGTGAACAGTAAATTCAGAAAAAAAATATTAAAAAATGAAAGTCTAAAAAAAATATATGAATTTTTTAGTATTGAAGATGCTCATGTGTGCAAAGTGCGTGATTTTTTATGGTGTTTAGACTTTTAAGAAGCTCGCACAAACAAAACCTGGCTATGAATAGTTTTCTTTTCAAAGTTTTTCACACCCTCAAAATTTGCTTTTATTGGCACGAGCTCCTCATATGTCTAAACAACAC